CATCAGAGGAGCAGGAAAGCTGACGTTTCGGGCCTAGACCCTTCTTCAGAAAGCACTTTTACAACTTCAGGACATTCCAATGCACCTTAAAGCCAATGAATTACTTTTGTAAAGTACTTTTATGGTAGTGATGCAACATCATACAATGCAGGTGCCAATTTGTGCACAGCAAGATCCCACAAACAATTGTGTGACCATGACTAGATGATCTGTTTAAGTCAAGTTGGTTGAGGAATGAATAATGTCTAGAACACTTTGGAGAACTGCTTTTCTGTTTTTCAAAATCGTACCATGGAATCTTTCATATTCACCTCAAAGGGCAGACTCAACCTCAGCTTAACATCTCATCCAAAAGATGATGTGCCATAAATCTCAGGGCAACATATAAAATTCTAGCAGGACTAGACAGAGTAAATGCAGGAAGGATTTTCCAGATAACCAGGGAGTCGAGAACCAGGGGTCACAGTCTAAAGATATAGGGTAGACCATTTGGGACTGTGATGAGAAAATATTTCTTCAACCAGCGTGATGAGTCTGTGGAATTCTCTGCCACAGAAAGTGGTTGAGGCCAACACTTTGAATGTTTTTATGAAGAAGATGCATATAATTCTTAGGGCTAAGGGGATCAAAGGGAATGGAGTTAAAGTAGGAACAGGGTACTGAGTCGGATGAACAGCCATGATCATATTGAATGGTACAGCAGGCTTGAAAGGCTCAATGACCTAATCCTGCTTCTATTTTCAACGCATCCAACAATGCAGCACTCATTCAGCACAGCTCTGACAAAACAGCTTGAATGTGTACTCAACTCTTCCGAGTGACTACATAGTGAGTAAGAATGTTTCCTGCCGAAAACAATGTCGCTTATGTATTTATCATGCTCCAAATAACGTCAAAGATATTATCATTTTGACATAATGAGTACAGATAGGAGACAAAGCCTCATGCCGCCTGTGTTCTTACAGATTGGTTCTATTCTAATCAATATCTTTTACCAACTGGACAATCTTCCTGAGTTTCTTATATATGTTAAATGCACAAAATACATCAAAAACCAGTCAACTATTGATCTTCTTAAAAGGTGCATAGCGTATAATATTCTTAGTGACATATGTGTCTCTTATTAAGGTGAAATGTAACGGGCCACCTATTGACAACCAAATTACACAGAGTACATTTTCAGAGCTATCAGTAATGGTTCTTCAGTCCATGGATCTAGGTTACATCAAAAGCACTCAAGAAGTATTCTTAATTAAAAAAAATTTTTGACCTCTGATGAACTGACAAGTTGAATTAAAGGATAAGTTATAGTTATTTTATTGATGGGGTGGAAGGGAAATGTAGCTATCGTCTGCACTCTACTTCACATGAATCACTGCTTTTGTTCATTTTTAATAAAATAGTTACTAACAGTTTATCTTGGCTGCACATTTATAAATATCCATTATTTTGACTGCAATCCAACACAGTGAGGGTGGACGTTTTAGGAGATATTGACACCTCTAATTATACACAGGTAAACCTTTGTCTCTCACAGCTCACTTGCTAAATATTCTGCCCAGACTAGTCCTGAGCCACATAATATAAAGACAGAAAATGTTGGAAGTGCTTCAGCAGGTTCGGCAGCAACTGCAGAGTGGGGAACAGAGTTAAAATTTCAGGTCTGTGATCATTCATCAGAACTGGCCTAGACCTACTGAGGGTTGTCTGCATTTTCTGTTTTGTTTAATTTCAGATTGCCAGCTTCTGTGTATTTTATTTTTGAATGACTCACATGTGATGGGCAGGACCCAGACTTGATCCCCAGAAGTGACGGTGTAGCCACTGGTCTCAGTGATCCCTGGATTAGAATGGGAAGAAGCAGAGTTCCTAATTTTAGTCACTAGCTGGTGAATAATGTTTTTTTTTCTTTATTCATTTCAGGGATGTGGGCCAGCATTTTATTGCCTGTCCCTAGTTGCCCTTGAGAAGGTGGTGATGAGCTGCCTTTTTGAACTCTGCAGTCCACCTGCTGTGGGTTGACCCACAATGCCATTCGGGAGGGAATTCCAGGATTTTGACCCAGCGACAGTGAAGGAACGATGATATATTTGCAACTCAGGATGGTGAGTGGCATGGAGGGGAACTTGAAGGTGGTGGTGTCCCCATATGTCTGCTGCCCTTATCCTTCTAGATGGAAGTGGTCATGGGTTTAGAAGGTGCTGCCTGAGGATCTTTGGTGAATTTCTGCAGTGCATCTTGTAGACAGTACACACTGCTGCTACTGAGCGTCGGTGCTGGAGAGAGTGGTTGCTTGTGGATGTTGTGCCAGAAAGCGAGCTGCTTTGTCCTGGATGGTGTCGAGCTGTTTCAGTGAACTTATGTGGATATCTAATGAGGAAATGTCTGTTGACATCCCAGGAACTACATGCTAAAGGGGAGAAACTGATAAGGATTTATACTGTCATGGCATACTGTATATTTCAGGACAATGGAGCAATTATGATTTTTTTTTCAAATTAAACAGTTCAGATATGCTATGATGGATCTCCAGAGCTTGTAGGTCTTGAACCTGCATCTTCTAAGCCAAAGGTAAGGGCACTTCCATTATATAACAAGAGCCTAACCAATTTTGGTATACACAGCAACCTCTAGATTAAGACACGAATGAGTTACAAACATTTTTTTTTCAAAAATATACTATATTCATAAAAAAACTTTGTATACATAGACAGAAACCAAAAGAACTGAGGATTCTGTTAATCAGGAACAAAAACAAAGTTGCTGGAAAAGCTCAGCAGGTCTGGCAGCATCTGTGGAGGAAAAAACAGAGTTTACGTTTCGGGTCCGGTGACCCTTCCTGGGACCCGAAACATTAACTCTGATATTTTCTTCACAGATTCTGCCAGACCTGCTGTGCTTTTCCAGCAACTTTGTTTTTGTTTTAGTCACAAACACAGTTTGGTTCTGCACAGTAACATATCAAGGAAGCAAACAAACATTGGCGTTTGACAAACAAACCAAAGGCATCTCTTCCACAAACAAAGCTATATTTACATGCATTTGAGGCACTGGGAGGGTACGATAACTGAATTGACCGCCATTTAACTTCAGCAGAAAGACAGACAGTGGTCTTTCCCCACTGTGCCTTGGTGGCAGATGCCCCAAACTTTAGTGTGTCCCTCAGGGCGTATTCCTGGACCTTGGAATGTGTCACTTTGCAACATTCAGTTGGGACCAAACTCCTTGTCCTGAAAGACCAACAAGTTTCGGGGAGACCAAAGAGTGTCTTTCATTTGAGTTGACGGTCTTCCAGGTGCAATCCATGTTTGTCTTGGTGTGCATCCTGGGGAACAGATCATAGAGCACAGAATCATTCCTCACCGAGCTGCCTGGGATGAACCCCGCCAAAAACCACTGCATCCTTCCTTTTTAAAGGCACATTCCAGAAGGTGTGTGACCGCTTAAAAATATTAAAAGTAGACATTCTTACAGTATTTCAGCACACGTGGTTAATGAGAAAAACCTTGCTTTTGCAGGATTTCACTTTTTACATTTCATTGAATTAATCCATAGCCCAGTCAGAAATTCAATCACGTCAGCAGGGCAGGATCTCAAAACCTGGGTACAATGACATTTTCAACGCGTTTCCCTGGCCACTGCAAATTTCTTTATAACAACGAGGGTGGGTTAGTACTTGAGCAAGCCGGCTTCCCCCACAATCGAGATCATGCCGCCGCCGTCATTGCAGGAGCTTGCTTTCCTGTATCCTGGAAACCAAAGTCTAATGAGATCTGCCCGTTCCCAGCGATGAGCTTTCAACTCCCACCCAGTTTTTTTTCCAGGCGTGTTGTTTGCTGTCGCCCCACCTCCTTTCCCAGAGAAATTCTGAAAGCCGATGAAGAGATTTGAACTGGAAATTTATATTTCAACAAAAAAAAAGCCCACGTTGGAGGCAGCTCAGAGGAGAGAGAGAGAGAGCTCAGAGAGACTTGATAAATATTCATTGCTGCAAGACTCAAACGCCCTGGAGGATTGCGGAGCAACTTTGAGCGATCCTATTGGTTGTATGAATGCCCAGCTCTGTGCTGGATCTGAGGCTGTTTCTATTGATCAGAAAGAGGAGGAGAGGCAGAGACAGAGAGAAAAACAACTGAGTCCTGGCTTCTCCGCCAGTCATGCCAGTGTTATTCTTGAAGGATTGCCTTTCTGATGGCTGTGCGGACTGAATGTGGCCCGTTGATGCGGAGAATATGAGCGGGCAGGCTTTACGTTGCGAGTTGCTAGCGGTCCCGCAGAATCAGTGCAGCCTCCTGCTCTTTGTATTTGGCAACAAAGGCATAACCGGGTAAGTGAGGGTCTGCAGCCAAGATGCAGCGTTTAGAACAGTGAGGACATTCCAACACTGGCTCGCTTTGCCATCCAGTGTGTTAGAGCGGGACTGTGTGCCCAGACAGACAACTCTCCATTCCACTTACACAGGGGGAAGGGAGAGAGAGAACGACACTAGGACATATCGAGCCAGTTCAATTTATTATCCAGTCGGAAGGCTCTGCTGAATTATTTCGCCGAGGCGAGCTACTGAGTAACTGCTAAATACCAATTCCGGGTGACAGCGGTTCTTTCAGGGTGTGTATCCGTGCATTTTGGGATGAAGTGGGAGGGGTTTCTTCGTTAGGAAAACGACTGGGGTTCACTTCACGAACACAGACAGAAGTTGCTGGAAAAGCTCAGCAGGTCTGGCAGTATTCTGAGGAAGGGTCATTGGACCTGAAACGTTAACTGATTTTTCTTCACGGATGCTGCCAGACCTGCTGAGCTTTCCTAGCAACCTCTGTTTTTATTCCTGATTTACAGTATCCGCAGTTCTTTCCATTTTTATAGAGTTCACTTCATTTCCCTGGAAGTCCAGCTGATTTCCAGGACACAGAGCTGGGAAGGGCAATAGGACTGGATCGTCTGAGAAAATATGATCAAACTCACACCTTGTGATCTGCACAAAGTTAGATGTCTCTTTGGCCTATTCCTGGCATCTGCTTAAGTCCATGCAGATTTATTTTATTGGTCTTGGGATGACTCATAGCTCCAGTGCCCCGACCATTGTAGCAATATGTCAAGCATTGAGATGCATCACCGACACTGTGCCCTTAAAATATTGAACGATGTGGCATCAAGCTGGGAGTTCCAGCGCTCTGCGTGAGACATTTGCACTTTTTCCAAAGTTTTCTTCATTGCCAATCTCTTCTGCTCTACCGATTCTTGCTAGTTTACACTTCTGTGGGCGCTGATTATTCTCGATGTGCAAACCTAGACATTGACTATTGGACAATGAGATGGACAGCACAGCCATCTGTGTCCACAAGTACACACTTGCAATTGTGACCCAATTGTTGCCCTATTTAAGGTTGTTAACTCCATACAGTTTAGTAATTGGAACTTGGTGCCAAATGCATAGCTTTTGGTGAGGTAATCCAGGTTGTGGAAATGAGGGATCCGTCCACGGGCTCAGTAAAGGCAGTGCCTAGTCTGGTATTGTGCTACCTAAACTGGGGAGGATCACAAGTGCAAATAATGGTCTGCAGTAGGTTAATTGTTCCCAATTGCTGTAGCACATAGGTTGCACTGTAATTGGCTTAAGTTGCTCCCAGGACTGGTGAGGAGAATATGTGGCCACTTTATTGCTTGCTGAACAGTCATATGTGAGACTATTAGGTAAGGTTAGGGTAGGGTTTGGTTTCCATGATCAAGCAACCTGCTAAATATTATTTAAGCATTTTCATACTCACATTTTCATGATTGGTGACCTGTGTGTGTTACCAGAGGACTGCCTGGGGGAATTCAACCTGCATGATCTCTATGATTCATTACCCATTCTCAGCCTTGGCACGGAACTACATTGTAGTTTTTTTCTACTGCCACACCAGTTGATGGCAGGAAAATCAACCCGACCAGAGATTAGATCATGGATCTTCTCAATCTTTAGAATGTACAGCTAGAGCAGGCAGTGCATTTTATAGTCAGGTAAGTGAATTAAATGGTTTGTTTTTTCCAGTGTACAATGTTGTTGACTCATCAATACTACGAAGGATCTATCCATTATTCAACAACAGGTTCTAACTAGCTCCACAATATGCTTTAAAGCCCAGATGATGCAGTCTGGGAGTCACAAAATGTTCCAAAATATGATTGGCTAACAATCAAGAAGCCTGCTGTGATATCAGTAGGAAAAGAGTGCTGAGGATCTGAATAAGCAGTAGGTAAAACTAACTTATTATGTTAAAGCTTTTTATCTTGTTGTAGTCTGGAGGTGAAACTGGTGTGGTTGATGAATGTGATTTAATATTAATTATTGATTAAAGTAGAAACGAATCTTCCCCATTAACCCAGTTGGTTAATGGACTGGCCAGTGTGTAACTGCATCGATCAGATAAGAAAAGTCTTATTTGAGCACTGGTTGGAGTGGTGCAATTGGACATAACCTCTGGAAGGAGAAATATCAGCCACAATTCCCACCCTTGAGTAATCTCAAGCAAATCTAGCTAAAAAAAGCAACTGTTGCTATTGAACAACTGTTGACTTGGGTAGAATGCCGACTAAGCAGAATAGCAAGCCAAAGACAACTACTACCTTGGTTCATGCTTGACTGGTGCCCATTTATGTTAAGCCTTGAAAAGTATCTGCTGCTGGTGGAGCTAAGAGACTGAGCAATTCAAATATTGTTCAAAAATGGGAGAGGTATAAACATGGTAGGTGCAGGTCAATCAGTGTAATCTCAATGGCAGGGTAATTACTAAGCCCATTGTACAGAGCAGTATTCATTTTAATTTGGGTTGATAAGGGACAGCCAGCATTGATTCTTTAAAAGCAAATCAGGTCTGAGTGACCTTATTGAGTTCTTTGGTGAAGTAATAGCGACGTTTGCTAAATATAAACATTGTTTATGGGGAATTTCAAGAAAACATTTGATGATAAAGAAAGACTTGCATGTATATTACCCTTTCACGACCAACAATGTCTCAAAGCCTTTTGCCACCAATGAAGTACATTTTTAATGTAGTTAGTCCTATAATGTAGGAAATGCAGGATTTAATTTGTGCTCAACACACTTCTACACACACCAATGTGAAAGTGACAAGATAATTTTTTTTGTGTTGTGGATTGAATTATAAATATTTGCCAGGATGCCAAAGATATTTCCCAGTTCTTTGTCAAAATTTTGTCATGACATCTTTTATAACCACCTGGCTGAAAAAACAAATTGAGCCTTGGTTTAATGGTTTCCATTGTAAATAGTAGGAAATCCCTGATGGATTTATTTGGAAAATAGAAGACTGAATTGACATTTAGAAACATGGATATGAAATTGGCTAAGGGAAAGGAAGCAGAACGTAGTGGCGAATGGAGAGAAGTATGTAGTGGGATTTCCTAGGGTTCAATATTAGGACTATTGAAGTGTTATATATAAATTACTGGATTTGGAGAATGAGAGTAACATTACAAATTTTGTATATGGTACAGCCAGAAATGTAATAAATAATTTGGAGAATAGTAGTTGACCTCAGGAGAATACAAGCTGTTCAAAGAGACCGACATGTAGGATGTGCTGCCAAGTGTGAAGTGTCCTGTGGAGGGAAGTTGTACAATGTTATTTGTTTGAGAATATTATAATACAATTTTTTTACTATCCATGTTATTCAGGATAAGTATTTTTCTTCCCCGTAGCAGTCAACTGTATATTATTAATCTTACCTTGGTCCTTTTCCTCTGAGCTACTTTCTGTACACAGAGAAGGTTGATCAAGGTGTCTAATATTTAGAAAATTACCCTACACAATGAACCATGGCCCTTTAGCTAGAGTTTTCATATTTATAAAAAAAAAGATGAAGCAAATTTATTGCAATTTATAAATTCTGAATGCAAGGCTTTAAGTTTGCAACCTACAGCACTATCCCCATCTCCCAACTTAAGTTCTGTGTTTCTTGAAGGTTGCTAAGCATAAGGCAGAAAGCGAGAGAGAATTTAAGGAGTCTGGCATCAATGTGGGTAGTGTCTCATTAAAGTTTATTTATGACTCGTTTGTGTAGAATTTTATTAGTTTTTGACTGCTGCCAACATTTTGACATCTCCTTTGTGCTATTTGTTGTGAGGCTATCACATTTCACACCCCCAACTACCGCGTCCCCCACCCATACCCCAATGACTGCCTGTTCACAAAGGCTACAAAATGCCATTTCTATTCAGAATTGCCCTTATATTGGCTTTTTTAGAAACTGAGGAGCGATGGATCTTTCTCCAACTGATTTGGCAATGCCACACGACAGTCACACACTCGCACCTCATTCAGACATACATATATTTCTGTGTTTTTTTAAATGAATTAGGGGCTTTATCAGGGATGCCATCAATTATTATTGTCACATACTGTAAGCGGGTCAATAACCTACCTCTGCTAGAGGCACAGCATTGCTAAAGCTTCATAAGATCACACTGCTCTTAACTTTGATGCAAAAGAATAATTTCACATTGCTGTTTGCACTACCATTTGTGAATCAGCAACACATATTCACTAAGCAAATCACGGATACAGCAAAAAGTTCATACTTACACCAGACACTGTTGTCAGTCTCCTGAAAGGGCAAAGAGTCAAGGTTTGCTCCCACATGTACCGATGTGCCTGCTTGTTCAGTATTAAATATTGCACTCTTTCAATGAACAGCTCATTTGCAACACTGTGTAATTCAAGTGAATGGTCCCTTCCCTGGGACCTACTACAATGCTTCCATTTTAAGGCGGTCCACCTACATGCCCTTTTCTGTATGCAATAAGTTACCAAGCTCTCATTCATACTCTCCTTTTATAGCTGATTCCAAATTTTAGCAAACATATTGTTGCATGCACAATATTATTAGTGCAATAATAACTTAATGAGTACACGGGGTGTAGGAGTACTCTTAAGAAGGAAATCAGGAGGGTGAAAAGGTGACACAAGATTGCTTTGGCAGATAGGTTAAGGGGAATTCAAAGAGAGGCTACAAGTATACCAAGAGCAAAATGTAACTAGAGAAAGAATAGGGGCCCTTAAAGATCGACAAGGTCATCTATGTGTGGAATCACAGACGATGGGTAAGATCCTAGATGAATATTTCTTGTCAGTATTTACCGTGGGGAAAGACATGGAAGCTAGAAAACCTGGGGAAGTAAATAGGGATGTCATGAAAAGAGCCCATTTTGCTGAAGTGGAGGTGCTAAAGGTCTTAAAACTCATAACAGTAGATAAATCCCTGGGATCTGATCATGTATATTCTAGGACATTCTGTGAAGCTAGGGAAGAAATTGCGGCATCCCCTA